ATGGTCGTTGTCATCCATAACCGGAAATTATATATGAAAATATACTAACAAAATAATATACAATCAAAACGTATATTTATAATATATAACTTTCCTTTGGAGGCGCTTTTAGCTAAAGCTCTACCATCATTTAGCGTTGGTGTACAGGACTCGCCCTGATTATTCTTAAAGAATGAATAGTACATATTAAACTAATATAGTCTATATCTATAATAATGCAGCCAAGCGTAACATAATCATAGTCAATCGAAAACTATACAACATAAGGTAAAAGTACACATTAAACTAATATAGTCTATATCTATAATAATGCAGCCAAGCGTAACATAATCATAGTCAATCGAAAACTATACAACATAAGGTAAAAGTCATAGGTGTATGAGACTATTTATTAATTAAACTTAATTATTAAATTTTTCTCTCAATAATAGTTTTGTAAACAATGTTAAGTCAACGTTTATCGTTTATTGAGTCAGGGTCGATAAAGATTAGAATTTCGTAAGAACCGAATTCATAGTTACAGTGATACTATTTTATAACTCTAAACATATTATTTCTTCTAAACTAAGTTTAGTTTAAAATAAACTGAAATTTTTGAGTTGCGCTGTGAATGTGTTTAACTCGAAATCAAAAAGCTATATCTTCCATTAGTTTTGATATGTTAATTATGTATATCCAAACAAATCAAACGCATCTGCTCATATTTACAAAATAATAGCTGTTTTTAATTCAATTCGCATTCAGGAATGCGAAATAACGTGTATAAAACAAAATTCACCTTCACAGCTCCAACCCAATACGTCAAACAATTAAAAGCACAAGCCTTTGTTTTAACAAAGCTCGGATAACCGATCATACAATGCTTTTTAAATAATTAATAGTAATCTAATATATAATATGAATTTCTAGAAATTTGTCCGATATACTTGTTATTTTACCAAGTCAAACGAGAAAATAAGGTAATAATTATTTATTTATTTAAGCAGATAATCATAATTCCATATGGTTATATTGTGCAACAAAAAAAAGCAATTTTTTTACCATACCACCACAGTCCATTGCAATGACCCTTGTAAGAACAATCCAGCCTTCCCGCTATTATTGATACCCTCGTTTTGTTTGAAAAGTCATGTATTGGGAAAGTTGCTAATAGGACGTGCAATCGAGCATTTTCTTCAAACTTTTCTAGTTAATTTAAAATTCTATTTACCTGCCAAATAGAATTTTAACTCGATTAAATAATATTTCAGCTATCATCGTTATAAGTCTTTCTTATTATAGTTGTCCGTTGCCTATCTAGTTTAGAAAATTATAAAGGTCCTAGCACTCTTTTAAAATGGCTTCTATTTGTAACTTTTCAACCAGAAAAATAACCATAATTTGTCTTGCTCCATGTCATGATATAAATGACAACGCAGCATCTCGTGGGTTAACTTGCCAAGACTTTTCCGGAAAATGGTTTAATAAAATTTTCCTTACATTCTCTTTAACAAACTTTTTAAATATACTTTAGTATGGTTTCGCTGCTTCCGTTCTTATTACTTTCTTATCTTTACTAGTGTTCTGCACCGGCTTCGCACTAGGCACTAATATAATACGAAAAATTTGTTTCAACTTTCAAATGTTACCCACTAAGATGTTTTTATTAAATTACTGTATCGCACGCGCCTATAATTGATACATTAGCGGCAAAACGTGTAATTAAGATTGCAATTATTAGACATTTATTCAAAGTCAAAGTCAAATCATTTATTGGAATTAGGCCTATTAAAACTTCACTTTTTAAAGTCAAATTATAAGTTAAAATTATTTTAAAAATGACTCTAGTTGCCCCTTCCAAAAGGTTTCATGGTGCTCACATATTTACAAATATTGCAACTACATTTAACACTATTCTACATAAAAAAACTGTTAAATAACATACATTCGCACGCCACACACACTTAGAGAGAGAGACACACACACAAACACACACCAAATTTATTTTTAAGACTCCGTTTGCAATGTTTTCTTTTAGCACTTAATACTTATTTTCTTCTATTGTATCTTATGACAATGACATGATTGTACGTGTTCCGGTCCGGTGTGGAGAAGCTGGCTATCTGTCACTCAGGTCTCCTGTTACAGAGACCAGTCTCTCACATACACTTCCTAATGTTATCATCTTAGTTTAATCATAAAAACCTTGTATGTATATGGGAGAGAAGAAAATAAAGATTATCATTATTATTATTATTATTATTCAGTGTGAGTTACGTCAAAATTGAATTCTTTAAAAAAAAGTAAAATATATATTAACCTGTATGACTAAATTAGCAACCATTTGTTTTAGTCTAGTTTGATTGTCCTATGGAGCAGGACCAGCATGTTTCCAAGCATTTTTATCTTGAATATAATCCTCTAATTTGTAATATGCTTGTCTACAAAGTGTATTTTTAATAAAAGTTTTAAATTTTCATTCGTTTACTTTCAATATCAAAGGAGTCTTAACACACTCTTCTATAACTCCGATTACTGTCTACTCGCATAACCAATGTATAATTAATGTAGAAGATAAAGTTATTACTATGTATAATAGTGAACTTGATATTCATAAATTATAACGCAGTGTAAATTACCTAGGGAATTAAGTTGGGTTGAGACATGACTGGCCTCTCACCTTTGACCGTTCCTAAAATGAACCTCCCTTTGCCATCCGTAAATTGACTAAGTCAGTTTTGTAATTATCTTTTTTACTCAATAATTTCGTGATACGTTGTCCACTATAAAGTTTTAAGGTCAAAACTACCTTTTATTTCATCTTGGACTCGGATTTCGATATCTGCATTAAACATTTTATGGGCGAATAGATCATTCTTCTGTGTCGGATTTTTAGGTGTGAAAATGTACGTACGGTTTGTTCATATTTTTCTAACTAGTAATTGCGCATAATTAGTATAGGGTTCAATTGCACCACGATAAATTTTAAGCTTAAGCATTAGGCGGCTGCCCATCACCAAGTTTCATCTATTTCTCTTATCCATTGATTATTAATCTGCTGTTTTGATGGTAATCTTGTATTTTATTTTTTTGTAATTTTCGGGTATTTTTATGTAAACTAGTATATATTTTAATTGTATCTTTTAATTATTTTTGTATAATTTATGTTTACCTTAATTATTGTCATACATTTAATAGTTTTTAACATATACCGTAAATTTAGTACTATGTGTGATGTGGTAAACTTTAATAAATAAATAAAAAATATATATGAATGACCTTTTAACTGTGGTTCTACATGCGTCAGATTATATCTATTAATTCTAGTAAAACTCTTTAGATTTCCATTCAATTGTACTTCGATACTAAAATAGCACCACAGATGGTCTAGAATAAACATATAAGTCATTGCCATTATTTAGAATCTCTTACGACAAACCGTTAAAAGAACACTTCAGTAGAAAGTTGCAACTCAACAAAGTCCACAGTTTTCAATAAATTCAATACTAACTTTTGCTATAATCCCCAAAACGCTCACCTACGCTCGGTAACTAGCTTATTCGGGTGAAATTGCTTTGGGGAATGTTGCTGGATGTCATAAAGTTGAAGCTGGTGACGTGCTGTACATGTGTCGAGTTATACCACGCTATACGGTGCGCACTTTAGCTTTATTAAGACGCCGCATTGTTTTAGTTAGTGCTCATTTAGTAACCGTGGCAAATGGTTCAATACTTTGGCGATTTATTAACAAAATAACATATATTTTTTGTATATTAATATTGTATTTGTTTACAAGAATAGAACATAATTACGTTTCCTTTAACAAATATAAGCAAGAATTTGTAACGATAGATAAATCAGTGGCGCTACAACCTTTTTTTTTGGGTCTGGGCCTCAGATTTCTGTATCTGTTTCGTGATTATTTGTAAATCTAATAGGCAAGTAGGTGAACAGCCTCCTGTGCCTGACGCACGCCGTTGACTTTTTGGGTCTAAGGCAAGCCCGGTTTCGTAATGATGATTTCCTTCACCGTTCGAGCAAATGTTAAAGAAAGTACATTGGTGCACAGCCGAGGATCGAACCGACGACCGCAGGGATGAGAGTCGCACGCTGAAGCCACTAGGCCAACACTGCTTTGTAACGATAGATAGCTCGATCCAAAAATCGTGGTCAGCGAGAGTCCACAGAGTGGTGAAGTTTGTATTCGTTAAAGAATTTAAATTAAATATTTGTTTATTGTTTTGTTTTCACTTTGTAGTATTCTCCTAGTAGGGTCGGTCCGCTCGACTAGCTTTCATACGAAGCAAACCCATGACTTCTTCTTTTTAATTAGAAAAGTAATTATACAACTACTCCACATTGCGCCTGATTAACAGCCTACAAAGAGTATACATTCTACACAAATATACACGTCTCACATTTATCATTAAATTCTGGTTGAAACCAGAAAAATGTATTTTATTAACATTGCTTAGACTGTGTGCCGAACAATTCTGTAAATGTGGTTGGCATCCCAGTCAAATATAAAACGTATTCGTATTAATACAGTATGGGGACGTTCAAGTATTACGTAAGCACTATAGGGGCTTTGATTTTCTTATTTGGTGTTTACGTCAACAGTAATTATTAAAAAATTTACACATATTACCCACTCATTGTCTATGCCTGAAAACGAAATACATTTTCGAAGATTCCAGCAAAATATTAATACGTTTATGTACTATTATTTTTGAGAGCTTTGCTTACTTTTTCTGACAAGAGGAAGTGCATTGCAGTGAATCTGCTTACGTAATACTTGAACGGCCCCTATAGTATTTCTTAAATACATATGGTAAAGGTTTTAATACGCCTGTATGCGAATGGTATTGTAAAACATCTAATATAATATAAAAAAACATTTTAATTAAAACTATCTTTTACTAAGCTTTAACTTTAAAGGAACAGTGACCGTAATTTGTAAAACGAAATGTGCTACAGTAAATGTGTGTAGTTTTAACGAGCAATTTCTTTCCAGATTAACTATGGACTGGAGGACGGTTTTAATGACGCTGGCGGTGCTGTACCACGTTGATGGCTTCTCAAGTAAGTTGCATTACTGCAAAGCTACTTTGCAGTAACGTTTAACGTTAGGTATTAAGAATTATATATGAGGGCGAAAGCTACCTTTGAAATTGAAAATAATTATCAAAATTTTTGTCTTACCCTCAATTAGTTTAACTATTAAGAATTTTACAAATTATAGTAATGGCTCTGAAATTCTAAATTGTTTCAAGGTATCTAAACCGCAACTTATTTGTTCGGTTAGAAAGAAACGCAATTTTTATAAAGACCCTTTCTATTATTACTAATTTCTGAATTTAAATGATATTTAATTTTATATTTATAATACTCCGACAACATTATGTTTTGTTGGTAGTCGAATACAGACCGCAAAAGCGGAAATAAAATCTATATACTATATGTGTATATGTAATGAAAGGGAAATACAACTATTGTACAATCTACATCACTGTAAGTGGCAAGAATTTATAATTTCCTGTTATCACGTTTATACAAATTGCGTCTGCTCGTTCGAGATCGGCTTGAATGACCTTTTATGTGACCTTCATGTATTAGCGGCCCGTCCCAGCTTCGTCCGCTACTATTTTATAAGAAGTAAATACCTTGTTTGCAGAATGTGATATCAGTAGCTACTGCATCGATTTTGAAACTTAATGCCTTCACCATATTCCTGGAGGGTCAGTAATAGTACTTCTTAAAGACGTATTAACTCAAAATTTCACCCGCATCTCCTTGATGGCTGGACGTCTTCCACGGTCCTCAAGACATTTTCTTTTGCGAACTAGCGAACTGTGGAATCGACCTCCTGGTCCCTTCCCTGGGAGATACGACCTCCAATTGTTAAAAAAAAAGTATACTCCTCCCTCAAAAGCCGGCAAAGCACCCTCCCTGCGTCCCGTAGGCTCGTTGGCCCCCTATCCTATAAAAAAGAAGATTTTTGACTTGTGACATATTTAATTCTATTTCAAACGAATTTGAGGGGCTACAGCTAAAAGTAACGTATAGTCGAAGTATTTTATCTACCAAATTGATATTTGATCCATTTTTATTGCTGACTGCCATCACAAGAGAAGAATTTTTATTGTACATATAGATACTGACATTACAATACAATTTTGTAGCTGTAGTAGTGTTCATTGTTTTTACATGCGATAATTGTTTCCCTAGAAATTAAACAAAGAGATTGGAACCACGTAAACATTTACGCAATGTTTAATATTTTGCCCTCACTTGACCTGATATGGGAAAGACATATTCGTTAATCGTTTTATTGAATGCACAGCAGAGCCTCACGCTCGACGATGTTGAAAGCTTAAACATATATGTATATATACTGTCCCCAATCTGTTTTCATTCACCGTAAAACAAATATTGATTGCTCACATAGAACGGACGATTTATATAGCTAGGCTGACTCAATCGTGAAAAACTCTTCAAAAATACAACAAAACAATAAGTTATACTCCTCAAACTTTTATATCTTTTTATTGCCTCCGAAGAGGCACTTGCCGAGTCGCAAATTATATCCCATACCTACGATTCCTCATTCTTGCACTCTGCTTAAAACATTTTCGTAGTAGAGTGTTTGCTTTTTTTACGTCTTTATGAGAATTTTATTACTTACAGCGGGAATATTACTTTGACGGAGAGTTATTATACTTAATGGACTACTTAAAAATACGACTTCTACTTATCGAAATGAAAGTCTGATATGGGCATGTTAATACCAAAGTTATCGATTAGCAAGTTATTGACTGTCTTACTGCACAATGTTACGATAATGGGCTGAATGAAACGTTGTTAGTTTGCTGAAATACGACTTCAGAGCGTTTTAAATGAAGCTCTACTATATTATTATATTTATTTATTAGTGCATATGAAATTGACGTTTTTTCGTACTGGCCACTTTGACCTCAAATTTCTCCTCTTTGGTTAGGAATTCCAAATTCAATTTTTTACGCCGTGCGTTTGTTTTTCGAAAGCCATGATCCATTTCATTTTCCCGTTTTAATTTTTAATCTTTGCGTCACTCTATTTGTTAAATGGAAAACATGAAATATCGGGTTATTTATACACACATATGAAATTGGCGGGAAGTACGGTGGATGTCTTGTCCAATTGAAGCTCCTCTAATTTGGTAGCACTGTTGAGCAGTGTGTGGTTTAGCGTTGTCTTGAAGCAGAACTGGCCTAGAGCGATTGACGAGCCTTGTTTGTTTAGCAGCTACCTTTTCCATCATGGCTTGCAGTTGCTGCCGTAATCGTCTGGCCAAATTTAAGAAAGTTATAGTGACCCCGGACTTAGTCCACCTAACGCTAACAAGTAACTTTTTCTTTTTCTTGAGATCTTTGAGGTCTAAGTGGGATATGTAAGAACCTTATAATTAGGTAGCTAACAGCAACAAATATATATCTAAATATATAATAAAAGAAGGCCCTAGTGTAATATACTATAAATATGGGTGTGTGAGAGTATGTGTGACTGTTTAGTTATTTATTTTTTAAATCTGTTGTTGTATTCAAAACGACAAATAAAACTCAAATCAAAGCTTGTCATTCATATTGAGGCATTCTTTACAACGACATGTGTCTGGTCTAATTGCTTTGTCCCCGAAATATTCTTGTACTTATGATAAGATAAAGTTTTGATCTGCAAAGTCTGGGTGTTATTTAGATGAAAAATTAATTGATTAGTGATTTTAAGTATGAAAGTATACGAACTGTAATAGTAATGCCACAAACAGTTGAATTATATATATTAAATGCTTAAGTAAACCTCATTACGATTTCTAAAAACTTTTATATCTATTATATTATATATTTAAAAAAACCGTGGTGCTACAGCCTTTTAAGATCTGGGCCTCAAACTTCTTTATCTCTTTCGTGATCATTTGTAACTAACACACAGTTTGTCGTGACATTTTTCTTCACCGTACGACTGAGTGATAATAGAAAGTCTATTAGTGCACATCCAGGGTTTGCACGACGACCTCAAGAATGAGAGTAGCACGTTAAAGCACAACACTGTTCAGTAACCAAAATTTTATTATATCCTTTAACCATTTTGAATAAATCCATGTTTCGGTTATTGATAAAAGTATAACGTAGCGAAAATACATAAAATTCAAAATAGGGCAAACTTGTTCGTCAAACTTATTTGAAAGTCGAGACTATTCAAAGAAAGGGCACGTGAAAAACAATTTCATAGGAAAACTTTACCACTCGTATATTACGTGTGATGCCGAACACAGTGAACCCAATCCAAGTATATTATAATCCTATGTATGTAAATGAGCTATCCCTTTACAACCGAATTCTTTCTGTCACGCTCGGGTTATAAAAAGGGCACACAAAATATTCATGTGAGCATATATATTTTTTACTAGCTGTCCCCGCGAACTTCGTTTCGTCTTTATATGATTTTTTTACTTAGCTTACCTTTTTAGTAGCTACATATGTTGCTATGCTACTCCATAGAAACTGTTCGCTTTCCAGGAATAATATCCTAAGAAAAAAAATAATTTTCAATTGTTTCTCTTTATAAAAACCTTTCTCAGTTGTTCAAGGAATAAAAAATAAAAATAAATACTCTAATTGATCCAGCCGTCTTCGATTTTGAGCTTAGCAACATATTGCTATTCATTTTTATTTATATTATAGATTTGAACACGTTAACTTGGATTTTAGGTTAGAAATAAAAAAAAGTACCTGAACTTCCATGATGAAGAGATCTGAGGATTTTTAAACGTTTAAAACTATTGAGTTTAGTTTAGTTATTGAACTATTTGGAGCTTGAATTTATTATTAAATTTGGTAAATATGTCGAAACAGGGCTCCATCTTAATACTGCTCCAAAACATTTTTATGACTCGGTGATTGTGTACATGCAATAATAAGGTGTGCGCCACCATAGAAATAATAAAACAAATAAATAAAACATTTTGTTTTAAAAAGGTACAATTTTTTGGCTCTAACCTAACCTAATTCACTGGGAACTGAGGCAATATCATTTACATCATGCATGTAATATAGTTAGTTTATTTCATTTTTAAGTGGTCCAAAGCCATACGCCTCTTTAATATTACTTGTGGTACTAAATACAAGTCGTAAAGAACGATAGAAACAAATTTGGAGCCGTTAAATCAGGGTAAATCCATACATGATTATATTATTGTGTTTGTTTGTTATTTCCTTCCAGCGAACTTTGAATATGACGGCTCACCATAAATAAGTTCGCCATTAGTCAAAGGGTAAAACCCTTTTAGATATTTTCAAAAAACTTTGCAAGAAAATACACAACAATATTATTAAATTTAGTTGCAAGGCAACTGTATGTGTGTAAGTAGTTTAAATAGAATAAGTTAATCCCAGGATAGAAATTGAAATAATATTAGGTCCTTACATATGAAATTGGCGTTTTTCTTACTGGCCACTTTAATCACGATGTTCTCCTCTTTGGTAAGGAATTCCAAATTCAAATTTGTACAGCTATTTACTCATGTATTTGTGCTTCGATGACCGTCATTCATTTGTTTTTTTTTTTTTTTTTTTCTGTTTGCGTCACTCATTTTACAAAATGGAAAACTTAAAGTATCGCATTATTTACGAGTACGAGTTCCGCCGTGGCACTAGTGCTGCGGAAACGACTCGAAGGGTGAATGATGTGTATGGCGGTCATGTTGCAAAAGAAAACACAGTTCGTTTTTGGTTCCAACGTTTTCGTTCTGGAAATTTCGACCTGCAGAACAAGCCCCGTGGACGGCCTGCGACCCAAGTTGATAATGAAGTATTGAAGGCTATTGTGGAAGCGGATCCATCGCAAACCACGTCCGAGTTAGCTGCAGGCTGCGGTGTTAGTGATAAAACTGTTTTAATTCACTTGAAGCAAATTGGGAAGATTAAAAAGCTTGAAAGATGGGTACCTCACGAATTGACTGAAACAAACCGGCAAACGCGCGTCGACTGCTGCGTTACATTACTGAACCGGCACAATAATGAAGGTATTTTAGACCGAATCTTTACCTTGATGAAAAATGGATTCTTTACGATAATCGGAAGCGCTCAGCGCAATGGTTGGATCCTGGCCAGCCAGCCTAATCCTGCCGCAAGCGAAAATTAACCCCAAAAAAGTTACTTGTAAGCGTTTGGTGGACTAGTGCCGGTATTGTTCATTGCAGTTTTCTCAAATCTGGCCAGACTATTACGGCTGATGTCTATTGTCAGAAATTGCAAACCATGATGGAAAAGCTAGCGGCTAAACAACCTAGGCTGGTCAATCGCTCCACGCCACTGCTACTTCACGACAACGCTAGACCACACACTGCACAACAGACGGCTACTAACAAGCCCCGTGGACGGCCTGAGACCCAAGTTGATAATGAAGTATTGAAGGCTATTGTGGAAGCGGATCCATCGCAAACCACGTCCGAGTTAGCTGCAGGCTGCGGTGTTAGTGATAAAACTGTTTTAATTCACTTGAAGCAAATTGGGAAGATTAAAAAGCTTGAAAGATGGGTACCTCACGAATTGACTGAAACAAACCGGCAAACGCGCGTCGACTGCTGCGTTACATTACTGAACCGGCACAATAATGAAGGTATTTTAGACCGAATCTTTACCTTGATGAAAAATGGATTCTTTACGAACGGAAGGTCAGCGAATGGTTGGTCCTGGAGCCAGCTACCGCCGCAAGCAAAAATTACCCAAGTCTTGTAGCGTTTGGTGGACTAGTGCCGGTATTGTTCATTGCAGTTTTCTCAAATCTGGCCAGACTATTACGGCTGATGTCTATTGTCAGAAATTGCAAACCATGATGGAAAAGCTAGCGGCTAAACAACCTAGGCTGGTCAATCGCTCCACGCCACTGCTACTTCACGACAACGCTAGACCACACACTGCACAACAGACGGCTACCAAATTAGAAGAGCTTCAATTGGAATGTCTAATACATCCTCCGTACTCCCCGGACCTTGCTCAAACAGATTACCATTTTTTTCGAAATTTGGACAATTTCTTGCAAGGGAAGAAATTTAACTCTGATGGGGCAGTCCAAATCGCCTTCACAGATTTTATTGATTCCCGTCCGACTGTCTTTTTTAGTAAAGGGATCAATGAACTACCTGTGAGATGGCAAAAGTGCATAGAAAACAATGGTTCATACTTTGATTAATTAAATATATTATATTTAAAAATATTCGACTTTTTGTTCCTCCCATACAAAACGCCAATTTCATATGTAAGGACCTAATATTTGGCGCACCTTTATTTTTACCAAAATACACATTCAAAAAACTTATAAGTATAAAACTGATGTTAGTAAAATTGGTGCATCCATGTCCCGTGGGGAACTAAAATAATTTGGTCAGAAACAAAAGTTGAACAAAAGAAAATTAGTCAAAAACAATAAATTTAGTATAAGATTGCTAAATTTTGTAATTTATTTCTGTGAACCATTTATATTCTTATGTTCAATCAGACCTCTACCCTTATTTTACAGCTTTTATGTTGCAGAACTGATGATGATATGTAATAAAATTATGTTTACAGAATATGGTCGTTCATGCAAGGACATCGGATGTCTGAACAGCGAGGTTTGCGTGTTAGCAGAAGATCCCTGTTCATATGGGCATAGCTCCAACTGTGGGACATATCCTACATGCAAGAAGAAGTCCCAAGTGGAAGGTACGTCTTCAAAAATTATGGATAGAGTTATTATTCTATTAGCTCCGTCCCGCTCGAGAGGTTGACTTGTTATACTTAAGACACGTTTCATATATTTTATCAGTTATTTCTTGTTGTATTTAGTTCCAAAACGTGCTCTTTACTCGGTTAAATGTGATTACTCTTACAGTTTAGTATATTTTTGTTACTCTTTAATTAGCAAAATAAATAAATAAATCAGTGGGCGCCTCTCTAGGTCTTGGCCTCAGATTTCTGACTCTGTTTCATGATCATTTCTAAAATCTAATAGGCAGGTAGGTGATCAGCCTCCAGTGCCTGACACAAGCCGTCGACTTTTTGGGTCTAAGACATGTCGGTTTCCTCACGATGTTTGCCTTCACCGTTCGAGCAAATGTTAAATGCACATATAAAGAAAGTCCATTGGTGCACGGGAATCGAACCTACGACGTCAGGCATGAGAGTCGCACGCTAAAGCCACTAGGCCAACACTGCTCATTTTCACACTTTAATTAGCGTCACAATTGAATTAATGATGAAATCAATACTTTTACAGGTTCTCATTCAGAACCATCAAAACCAGTTATGCCCAGACCGACTCCACAGTCACCTACGAGAGATTTTGATTCAGCACCACACTATCCAGCTCCTGCACCACCTTTGAACAACGGTGGCTCCCACTTGGGAGGAAATTCACCTTACGGCGGAAATCCACCATATGGCGGGAACAACCCTTCACCCTATGGTGGGAGCAACCCTAGCTCTCCCTATGGTGGGAGCAACCCTAGCTCTCCCTATGGTGGCAGCAACCCTAGCTCTCCCTATGGTGGCAGCTCTCCGTATGGGGGGAACTCTCCCTATGGCGGAAGCTCTCCATACGGAGGAAATTCTCCTTCTGGCGGAAATTCCCCGTACGGCGGTAACAACTCTCCCAATGGTGGAAACAGAGGAGGCAGTCCATATGGAGGGTCAAATCCAAGCTCCGGCTTTGGTTCTGGTGGAAAGAGCGCTCTAGATAGCATATACAACACAATAAATAAATTCGCAAACGGCCAAGGAGGAGCAGGCGGTCAAGGAGGAGCAGGTGGTCAAGGCTTATCAAACATCTTTGGGAATATCCTGGGTAATTTGTCCAAGAGTGGAGGGTTAAACAGCCTTTTCAACACTCGACCGTTGATGGAGAATCCAAATTACTCCTCGTACAGCTCAAACTCGAGATCTAACCCTCAACCTTATCCATCAGGAAACCCAGTTTATCAGACGCCGAACCAAAATAAGCAATATGGGCAAAACGCTCGCCATAACGGAGCTACGACGAACAAACCAGTGTCCTATGGGTGGAACATTGGGTAAATATTGACCTATTAGCTTCGGTCGTTGTCGATAGACTCAAAGAATTAACTGAGCATTTACCACTCTCATCTCACTCTCTTATCTTCCTTAATAAAGTATTGCATATGAAAATAACGACCCAAGTTTGGAACTAATCAGAAGTTTCAAAGTTAAAAATTAACACTAACACTGTTACAGTAAAACTTATCTGTTTCTTTCTGTCAAATTGTGTTCATAATGTAATAGAAAGAGATACAAAATTGTTTCAACAATAACAGTCAATTTAATTGTTTTTTATAAAGAGTCTAAAGCTGGCCATAGACGGACCGCATGTTGCAGTCAAGACCGACTGCAATATGCGGTCGCCGCACGGCGATCTGCAGTTTCCATACTAAATTCATATTCGCAATACACGGACCGCTCGAGCAGTTCCTGAGCAAACCGCATATTGCAGTCGGTCTTGACTGCAACATGCGGTCCGTCTATGGCCCGCTTAAGGCCTATATTCCAAATAATGCATTAGAGTCGAAGTTTCGTCTTGAAATTCGCCAAGTATTTTTGTCTATGGAGTTTCACGCTCTTGGCAGCCTAAATCTAACCTGTAAATCTAATTTGATGAGAGTATGCTCAGTCTTTATTTTCTTCGTCTATTCTCACTTACTCAGCTTATTTATAACACTTGCAATTGCACATAATATTTTTTGCCGTTTTTCCGTATACTGCGCTTTTATTAGCTAATAAAATAATAATTAACATATTGGGCCCAAGGTTTAACAATTTACCCAGTGTTCTAAACCATAAACAACTTCTAATTTCTAAGCAGATTATAACGTGCATGAATCAGCATCTGGAACATCTTTTGGTATTTCTTTATGTTAATTGTAGCATTTCACTCAGCATTTTATTATTTAAGCTAAATGTAAATACAAATAGTTGCCATATTTAGTTTAAGAATGCTTGTTTATTAATTGTAGATATTTCACAGATTAAATTTTTTTAACTAGAAGTGCCGGCTCCGACATCGTTTTTTGAAGTGAAACTTCTTTATCGAGGTTGGAAAAAAATTTAGTGTAACATTTTTTCGTTACGCGTCACATTTTTCGGTTACGCGCCATGTTGCTTTTTGAAGTCAACTTCTTTATCGGCGTTGGAATGAAACTTCTTTATCGACGTATGGGAGAAATTTTGTAGCAAATCGTCACGTTTTTCAATGATAGTAATAATTCTATTACAATTAATGAAATTCTATAATAATCTTCGTAGTAATAAGGTAAAATGAAATATTTGTATTCATGTCTATGATAATAAAAGCCTTTTGTTGAACTTTATCTAATTTAACGAATTTCTGTAAAGTTGCATATAGTAGATCATTTTTCGAAAAATAAGATCATAAAGAAGTTTCACTTCTTCGGGGGGAAAACAAAAAAAACGAACATTTGGGGGTGTACCCTTAGTACACGCACAATTTTAAATATTTTTATCTATTCCGCGCTTCTAGCTTAAGGCGATGTATTAGATATTACTAAGAATACTCACATATAATACAATAAATGTTAAATATTGTTAAGGCTGAATTTAGTGTCACGCCGACCGCACGCGTACCGTCGGCGCTGATGGTCGAGATATATGAATAAACAGGGGGTTTTGTATGACGCGTAGCTATAAGCGCGCACGGTGGTTGTCAGCGCCGATGGCTGTTCGGGCGGGCCGTGCGCGTCGCGCGTCGGCGCCGCGTAGCTGCGGTCGAGCGCTGACGATGGCGCCTCCGGCTCTAGGGGCCTCTGCTCTTCAGGTTGAGCGTTGGGGGCGGCGTCGTCGAACGGAGCGGAGCGTCGTCAGGCGTGTACAGTCATGGCAAATCCCGAAGTCGGATACAGGTCGAGTTATCGACGAGGTACGCCTGAGGGAAGAAATTGTGGGATGCTCCGATCCACTCTACAAAAATAAAGATGCAAGAAACAAAGCCTGGGACATTGTCGACACATTGTTCGAAAATATTTTAGGAGAGTCTCCTGCAACGGCTCTCTGCTCTATCTCTGTCTTCGTCTTCGCCGGTTTTTATTTTTTTGAGATAGGTAGTACAAAGCAGCAATAACTAATACACTCCGCATTTTGGTCTTCGTCTGTACAGTAAGGCGGTCAGTACGATACTAAAACGAACCACGCTGAGCGTCAGGTGACGAACTACGCGCTGATCTATGAGCGCTGACGGTGAGCGTGAGACTAAATTCAGCCTAAATCCTATTAAAAAAACTAAGAAACTAGAAAATCCATAATTTGTTTTTTCTTTTCTTATAAGTCGTTATACTTTTTCTTTCAGTGCGATTATGATGACATACCTGTTACACCAATACATCAACAGTGTGATATATTGATATTTTTAAATTTGAAAATATACTCTATGTAATAATATGTTCTTACGTATTAAATATATATCTTTTTGTTATGAATTTGTGTTTTTTTCCCACAGATGATTATTTAAAAGATGTTTCAATAAAACATTTCTAATGGAAAATAAAAAAAATACCTTTTTTACTTCAATAATACAACCAGGTAGATTCTAGTATTAAACATTTTTGTTGAATCAATATCCATTTTTTTAATTTACTTAACTATGTACGATAAAATTCACATGTTATATACGCGAACACTCGGTATATATCTATTACTTAGCCTAAGGCCAAATAAAACGATTGGTCAGATCTTTAATTTTATTAACAAACATATATACAAAAAAAATATCTCATAAAATGATTCAAGATTCGTTCGAATCTATCTGATACAAAATTTCCTCCAAGATTACAAATATGAATGCAACTGCTAGGAATGGTTAAAAAATAACAATCATTACAAGTCATGATCCTTAACAAACTGACGCTAATAGTACAATTATAAATGAGACCATAAAACATTAATTAGTAATTGTCTGTAAACGTCAAATAACTAATTAATTATAAAAAATATTTAAATTTATTAATCGTTCTGAATAGGATATACATAATATTTATCTCTAATTTCGCTACAAAAGTCTCTACCTATATAAAGTGCACGCCTTTTTATCCTACAAAGCGAAATTAGTGAGATACCTATTGGATTACATGTATACTTAATTATTTTTTACTGCTCTTGGTCCAATAATAAATGCATAGGTAACGATTGAATTTTTTTATTACGTTAGTAATTGATCAAATTCTATTAATTGAGATTCTAAAATATGAAATATTTCTAAAAAAATCTTACTTATTCTTTTAAAACCCATATTTTTCAGATCATAATTTCATAAAACCAAACAAAACGACTAAAAATCAATTAAAAATCTTATTCACCACAGTAGATATGTACAAAATAATTCAAATTCCCAGTATACAAAAAATATATGGAAATCTACACCACATGATTTGCATGAAGAAAATTATCCCATCAAAAATTTACAAAAACTAAAATTACCAAAAAACATTCAGTTTTCTTAACACATTCTGTATTTCTCAGTCTTTTTTATTATGTATTTGGTTCAAAATTATTCCCAATATTAGGAAAACAAGCCACACTCCATACCAATAGAAGTAGACTGATGAATAATAAATCCAGATTCTGTCAAAGGTGAGTAGCAGGAAGGCAGCGGCCTGATATGACTCTGAATGTGATCGAAGGAACCACATTATGAAACCGATTATATTTTTTTTCTGAAAATATAACAAATTTATTCACTGCCTATATAAAAATCAGTTTAGTAAATGTGTGAATTCCTAAGTGAATTAGATTAACTATGATAAAAAAAGTATGACAATGATAGAAAGCCAAATATTTTTTTTTTTAATTATCATTAATTTTTCAAGAGTAAATAGAACAATTTAATATTTTTTTATTTTTGTTATAACAGGGGAAGGAGGTTCACCTTATGTTAAGTGATACCACCGCCGGTGGACATTGGCCTAAGGCTCGCAAGTGCGATGCCGGCCTTTTATGAATTGGTACGCTCTTTTCTCAAGAAAAGAGTATAGTATATTTTTAGCTTAACTTAACTAAAGCTGAATTTTAAAATGTTTATTTTTAACCTTATTTAGAAAATAAAGAGTAAAGATATTTATTCTTATGGAATCTTACCATTCCAGTCGCTTCCTTATAGTACAACTTGTAATAAATGTCTTCAGCCATCAAATAGAACGGACAGAAGTAAATGCAGAAGAAATAACCAGCGTGAAAACCGTGCCATATCACTGATACAAAAAGTGCTGCGTGAACCCTGAAAGCATATTTAAGAAAATACATAAACAGTTAGGTACATATATAATTTCTCATCAATAGCTTTGTTATTATCTCACGGTTGGGTACTTGGCCTCTATTCAATATAAAGGTCTGGTGTTTAAAAATGTTGGAAAAAGAAGACAGAAAGAGAAATCCATTATTGTACAGGGATTTGAATACCGCTAAAGGAAGCGTTCAAGTATTACGTAACGCAATTTTTGGAGATTTTCAGGGGCCCCATTAGAGTGGTACACTGGCACACATGATCTTGTTTCAACATTTGTGTTATTGTATGTAATATTTTTACAAGCAGTTATTTCAATGATAAAACCTAACAATATAACCTTTGATTAAATTTTTATTTTCCAATATTTAAATGATTGAACTCTTACCAAATTTCTTGAGCAATTTCATTGAATTAAACCGGCCCTAGACAATCCATATGAAAATAGTATAGGATAGGGAGCGTTCAAGTATTACGTAACGCAATTTTTGGAGATTTTCAGGGGCCCCATTAGAGTGGTACACTGGCACACATGATCTTGTTTCAACATTTGTGTTATTGTATGTAATATTTTTACAAGCAGTTATTTCAATGATAAAACCTAACAATATAACCTTTGATTAAATTTTTATTTTCCAATATTTAAATGATTGAACTCTTACCAAATTTCTTGAGCAATTTCATTGAATTAAACCGGCACTAGACAATCCATATGAAAATAGTATAGGGAGCGTTCAAGTATTACGTAACGCAATTTTTGGAGATTATTGGACCCCCCCATGTAACTCGCCGTAACGTTTTTCAGTACCCAAGTATAGTAAAACGTTTCGTGACCACCTAGTGACTCTTTTATTACTATTATGTGGTGTAAGTCAAAAAAAAATTAATAATAACGCGTAATTTAATCCTCGCCCCGCATCGTAACGTTTTACAAAAGGACCTCCCCCCCCTTCCAAAATTCGTTACGTAATACTTTAACGGTCCCATACATCAGTAATCAAATATGCATGACACTCACTTGAGAGGTTTAATTGGAAACCGCTTATAAACAACCATGGCCACCCAATACTGCACAGCTTTGTTCCACACTTTCATTGAGTCCCTTAGAGTCACTACTGACTCACATTGCCATACCTCCATAGACTCTACAGTTATGAAGTCATAATCTGTTACTTTTGCTTCATCTTCTGACCTGCAATAATTTAATTTATTGTTGACTATTATTAATTATTAATACATTCATTAATTTGGCTACCTATTTGAAACTAAGTGATATCTAATAGTGGCAGCACTTAGTCTAACTTGAATCCAAGAACCATATCAAAAAGAGGCTGGCCACACACCCATATGCATGGAGGTTAGCACTATATTTTAATGCATGAAATTAAGTTAGACAGAACATTTCAAGGCTACTCAATAACAAATATTCACTAAGCCTAATACAAAAGAGACATTCAAATATCAACATACATTTCATTCAGCTTTAAGTACCCAACAGTTGGACCATGTCCTGTCCTATTCTTGCCCTGCACTGGGTATGCCCCAAGGCCTGAAGAAGTGCACACACTCTCAGCCAATGTCATGCCTGCATAAATTCTTTGTCTAAATGCAGCAAATAACACCCATGGATACATCATTCGATAAAGAAAGCTTCTGTTATTATGCTCCTCAGTTAACACATACTGTAAGTCAAATTTGAAGACAAAATTTTTTGCTAGTTATATTTTATTTGTCTATAGTTAATTACTACTACCTCACATGCAGTGCAATATAATAAAACAACAAAACTTAAAACTAAACCCTGAATGTAGCATATTAATTTGTATTGTAATTATTATTGAGGTTATAGATGACAATACAAATTAATATTGTTCTTGGGCATCAGAGCTGTGAGCTGTCTACCCACTACTATGCACCACAGAGTTTAGATTATATTTATTGGCATGAATGCATTTCTAGCCAAATATATTTAATATATTATAAAATACACTTACCTCCAATGGGCATATATTAGAAAAAGCCAAATATAATGAGATATACAAAGGTACAGCTTTGAGGGTATTTATTGTTGATCCAAAACAATCAGCATGTTTGCTGAATGGCAAGTAGAAATAATCATTAAAGGTCCGATATCTGTAGTATGGTCCTGTAAATAAATTGTGTTTCAACAAAAATTACCTTTTATCAAGTACTTGGTTTATTATTATTTAGATTTAATTGACTCAATCCTGGGTTTGATTAAGAATTCTGATCTTTCGAAAAGATGATCTAGAAAAAAAAATTGTTTGCTATATATATTAATAAATGCATATACACCTAGGCATATACAACCCCGTAAGTGGGTTTCCCCAGGTAAAAAAAAAAATATTTTTTTTTAAAAACAGTTTCCTGCGCGCAAAATTTGTGGGGGGTGATTACTACACCCCCCTCCCCCCTTCCTCACCCCCCGCAACCGCCAATTCGGGTTACCGATTTCTAAATCGTTACCCTGTAACATTTTTTTACTCCCTAGTAAGTACCTGTTAGCAATCCAATGTAACTGAAGGAATAGTGAATTAAGTCAATAAAATCTGGATTGATTAACTCAAGAAACTCATCATCCTTTTCCTTTACTTCTCTCTTGTCAGCATCCTCTATGTTTACAGATTTAACTAATTCATCATTTTGTTTCTTAGATTTTGCTATAGCTAACCAGGATCCATTCATTTCAAAGGCAACACCAACAACTCGCAAAACCATGATCATCTCAATAAGATTTGTTTGACCAGAGGATAAAGAGAATCCAAATTTATCAGCTAAGCGAAAGAAGAATAAGTAACCAAACATCAGGAAAAAGGTTACAATATGGCAATACCTAGAACAAACACATGATTATAATAACACTAATATGGGCTAATTAGGTATGTTCATAAAGGTTTATAAATAGATAAATAATTTTAAGATTATTGCTGATAGAAGGGAATATTATTTCAGGTTAGACTTACTTTATAGTTGCCACCTTTATGGCTAATATACCTATGAAAGCTGATAAAATAGGATGTACAGCACTATACCCAGACACAATAGCAATTAAAATTAAACCTAAAATAGTTCCACCCCATTTTTTAGTCTCAACTGTTTTTAATTTTCTGTAATATGGTCCAATGAAAACACTAAATAAAAGGAGAGAGAGATATATGATGTCATTTTTATTCTTTTCTATGAGTGACCACATTTTATTGAATTAGAATAATATTAACAGCATTAGCTATTTATTTTATCCTATTTGTAATATGTATTGTTTTTTTGCTGATACATTATATGATTATAAAGATTACAGACATATCACATACAGCTGTTATGTGTCTAAACTCTAATTTTTTTTTTTTTTAATTTTATGACCTGGTAACATAGACCTTTAAGTCATTCTAAACTCTAAAGAACTTTGACATAACAGATAACAATTAACACATAATAGTAAAACCTCATAAATAAAATTTGTTTGGGAATGGTTTTCATTATAATTTGTAAACGTTTCAGTTCATCATTATACTAAACTGACTAATATATTTTTGACCAAAGAGCCGCTTGATTTACAATTTACATCCACTTTTTGAACTGATCGTTATTGATTATATTACAACTCAGCCCTTCTTATTGGAATCAAACATAAAATATTGCTATTTAAAATTGATTTTTTTTAAATTCGGAACTGAAAAATAAACCCATCCCTAAATTTGATGACTTGATGTAATTTACGTCTATATTATGTGCGTTTTCCAATTACAGAGCATTATGCGACTCAGTGCCGCACAATGCCGCATAATGCTGAAGCTTAATTGGAACGTGAATTAGTTTTCAAATGCATCAGCAGAGTGCGCTAAGTCAGTGTTGTAAAAAAAATGTTATGAATTGAGTTAGCAACCTCATTAATGTATAAATAATGTGGTACACAATAATAATTGGTTGAAAACTTTTTACGCTTATTTTAATCATCAAATTATTTCATTAACATTTTTTTTATTGAAATAATAGAAAACCTTTAAAGAATATAAGGTTTTAACAAGCTAAATTAACAGTAAAATATTTAGTTTCATGTAAGAAGTTTACATCATTTACGTTTTGAGTAATATTTTTTAATGATTTCTAAAAAAATTATATACTTTTTCAAAACCATTGCAATTTTTTCTAAAGTATAATCCTGTAAAATAAATTTGTTTACAGATCCGAATTTTAAAATAAAATTGTATTCATATTTTAAATGTGGAATATAAAAAAAATTAACTATTTATACCTTCATCCATACTAATATTTATTTTTTTTAGCAGTTAGAAATAACTTTAATTATTTTCAAAATCTACGACGAAACGAAAGCCTTACAAATTTTTCAACAATAAATAATATTTACTAACGAAAATTTCGATAAATGCCAACTTAAAGAAAAATACTGGTCAATTTTCTGTCACTGTGTTGGTATTGTTTGCGAGAGCATTCGTTTTGAGAGTGCTCAATTGTGCGAAGCGTTGCTGTAGTTGGAACCTTCATCCATAGAAGGTATAAATAGTTACTTTTTTTATATTCCACATTTAAAATATGAATACAATTTTATTTTAAAATTCGGATCTGTAAACAAATTTACTTTACAGGATTATACTTTAGAAAAAATTGCAATGGTTTTGAAAAAGTGTATATTTTTTTTAGAAATCATTAAAAAATATTACTCAAAACGTAAATGATGTAAACTTCTTACATGAAACTAAATATTTTGCTGTTAATTTAGCTTGTTAAAACCTTATAGTCTTTAAAGGTTTTCTCTTATTTCAGTAAAAAAAATTTAATGAAATAATTTGATTAATAAATTAAGCGTAAAAAGTTTTCAACCAATTATTATTGTTTACCACATTATTTATACATTAATGAGGTTGCTAACTCTATTCAGACCATTTTTTTGTCAACACTGACTTAGCGCACTCTGCTGATGCATTTGAAAACTAATTAACGTTCCAATTAAGCTTCAGCATTATGCGGCATTGTGCGGCACTGAGTCGAAAAATGCTCTGTAATTGGAAAACGCACTATGTTAACTTCTACCGTCGGTTTTTAAGTGGTTTAAATAGTAATAAGATGTGGCAATAATTGTATCGCCTAACGTCTTCTGTGATCGGTCTTTCTAGTCTGTGATTGCATAAATTAATACACAAAAAAAACACATACACATAAATTGTGAATACAAATGTTAACACAGTTGTGAAAGAAAATAATTCATTATCAAAACATAATGAAACCTAATCTTAAAGATGAGACTAAGAAAGAAATCTTACAGGACTTAAATATAAAACTTGGGGGTGATATAAAAAATTTGCAGGCAGCCTTTGATTTACAAAATGAGCTGGCCAATAAAAGAGATCGTCTTGAAAGTTCCGTTAGTATACCATAATCATTTTCTCATTTAATATATATTTGGTGTATGGTTATACAATATCTACTTAATATTATTGTTTAGTGTACAATACTATAAACTTTTCCTCTTTACATTGTTCCAAGAAGTCATGGCCCCCAAAAATAACCAGGCTATTTAGTTCAGCTCTTTAATGCAACCTAATGGTTGAAGTGCAAGTGCTTTTGATTTGAGATATGAAACATAATTTAATTGTATATTTTGGTTCTCTTCAGTTAAGTGCTGCTAATGATGAGGTGCCAACAAAGCTTACATCAGCTATTAATAAGGCAGAGCTTAACTCAAAGCAAATTGAAAACCTTAAAATCAAAAGTGATGACTTTAAGAAGAGAGCTGAGGACTTTTTAAGTAGAACTCAACCACTACTTAGTGAATTAGATAAAAGGTTTATGGCAATTAGTAAACTGGAAAAGGTTTTGGAGTATTTTAAGTCTTACACAAAACTTCAAGATTTAAGGTATATGTGTATTTAATAATTAAGAATTATAAGCCTATAGTATTGTCTTTGATTAACATAACTTTTATTCATTTAATAAAACACTATTTTGACCGGATTGAAGTTATGCATTATTATAAATTTACAACTATTTAACATAATTTTAAATTTATCCGACGTTTCGCGTGCTTTACAGCGTGCGTGGTCACCGTGACCACGCACGCTGTAAAGCACGCATAATTATCACTCCACATAATTTTTAATAGTTTAGCTACAATTATGATTTATTATGCTTTCAAGGTAGGGAGGAAGGGTTTAAAAAAATAAAATGACTTATTAAGAGTCCCATAATTTTGTATTAGAGTCCATTTGGTCTATCCCCTTTCGTTATTTGAGAGATATATATATATATGTTATTTCACTGCTAGGAAAATTCTATGTGCCTTAGTGCTAACAATAAATAAAATCCTGATTAGGTATACACTTCACATGGCCCAAGCGTAGTAAATAACTATAACCAAGTTCTGTTACTTGCATAGCTAGATAATATGAATATAACATTACAGTGAGCAGATGAAGAATTGTAAAGATGATGAGCAGCTGGTCTTGATGTACAGTGAGATGAAAAAAATGTGTCAACAATACAAAAACTCGCACCAAGCTAATTATGCAAAAGAATATACACATTATTGGCACAATATCCTTAAGGACAATTTAATAAAGTTTGTATATCTGATTTTTTTTAAATTAGTGTTTATAAAATGTATATTGCTATTTCATAAAAAAGAATTAACTAATTAACATATCAAAATTTGTAACAAAAAATATAATTACGAAACATAGTATGTTGCTATTTACATAGCTATTAAATTCAATAAATTGGGTATTGTGAATTAAGTCCAAAATTATACTATAAGTTTATTGCATCCTATCGAGAATGATCCCTAAATAAATTCAAAGCCCTCGTTAAACGAAAACTAATCAGTAAAGCTTTTTATAAATTTGAAGAATACTTAAAAGATCCTAATCCTTGGGATTGATTTGCTCCAGTTCAAACAATTTGTATGACTCAATACTTGGCAATTAAAAAGAGTGGGGGAAAGCTTCTTGCCAGTTCTTCTTACCTGCTCTACGCCCTTGACTTGCGAACTGGTAGTAAATGTAAATTTACAATTACATAATTTAACTTCTTTCTGACGATTCATAAGTGTACTTGGTTACCTACATGAATAAATATATTTTGAGTTTGAGTTTATCCTGGCAATCAAAAATTTAATGCATTATGCCATCATTGGTACTTACACTTTATTTTTGTATATTCAGACACTATGATGATGTACTCAAATTATTAAAATGGCCACTAACAAGTGGAACTGACATCTCACAAGTTTCAAAAGAAGTTCTAAGCAAATTCAGTAATCTAACAAGAAATCTGTTTCTTATTCAAGAGCCTGAGAATTTGTTGGCTAAAGCTGCTATTACCGGAGAGTTTTCCACAGGTAGGAATTACATGTAAAATATTTATAGTTGAAATAATTGAGTTCCTTTATTATAGAATTTTTTATTTTTTATTCACCTGAATAGATAAGTCAAACAAGAGACTAAGTCATGATTAATTATAAAAATATTTGATTTTAATTAGCATATTTGTGTGTCTATTGATGTCTACCTAATTCTGAAATTAAATATATCATAGAACAGTTTTCAGATAATATTTTGGTTTTGTTCAATCGGACTATTGAATTTTCTACCTTGTAATTCTTATTGGTTTCATTCTAAACGGGTCCATGTGATTGTATTATCCAAAACTAAAGCAAAGGAGTAAGCTACTCTTCAATTCAAATAATTAAGACGGTTTTCAAAGTGATGCACAATATTTTTATTCAACTTGCAGTACAAGATCCCTCTCTACCAATAAAGGTCTTGCTCCGGCCTCTAAAGAAGCGGTTTGCGTTTCACTTCACTGGTTCTCGGCAAACAGCAAGAATTGATAGACCGGAGTGGTTCCTTACACAAACATTAACCTGGATTAAAGACCATCAGATGTTTATCAAGAATAATGTGCAACCAATTGCCGACAAACTAGAATTGAAAAATGTGAATGCATTGGTATGTGTATTTCGTAATGAATATAATCTATATATAAAAAGAAAAATGGTCTTCGTTTGAGGCTCCTTCACGCCTAAACCACTGATCGTATCGATATGAAACTACCACCATTCGATGCGAAATTTTTCCTAGATGGTTTATGGCTATTTATTTATTAAATTCCAACGTTCCTTCATTTTTTTATTGCTGTTTTACTTTTATGAAAATTTATCCATACGGACTTCACCGCGGA